TCTCTGAAAGGGGCAAACATGTCGTGGTTTCAGGAAGGAGGTTGTTGGCTTCAAATAGCGAAATCCAGTGTTTGACAGAGTGTTCTCGCGAGGTGGGCTAAAGAGTTCATACCAAAAGCTTTGGAAGAGTTGTTAAGATTTGTTTCTCCAAACCTTTATCTCCCCGACGCCCCAGTTTGCGTGACGATTTTGCTTCCCCATTAAAGGGCAAACTTGGGTGTTTGGCCAGGTCACATGGAGAGTCTGCATAGCCCGCCATAGTCCACCGAGAGGTCAACTCCTCTTTGACTGAAGCCCGTGTGACCTGGGATTCTACTTGGCCAACCCAAGTTACATGCGGGGGCTCAATATGTCAACTGCCAAGCTTTTTTTTTCGGAGAGCCTAGTTTTTCCATGCCCAATCGGGGGAAGCTGACCAAAGTTGCCTTGAAGACAATAGGGGAGGGACAAATCTTTCATGGTTGTTGGGAAATGTTTTACATTTTTGCTTGTTGTGGTTTAGTGGGAAATCCCCACTTAACTGCTATTTTGTTTGTTTTGCTCCCCTTCCAACGTCAACCAAGAAATGCTTCGTAGGCCGGCGCCGGGTGCAGAGAGACACCATCCTCCTCAACTCCTTCCTGGCCTGCGCCAAAGGCGGCGGAGCTTGGCGCGTTGCGCTGGAGCAGCTGCGTCGCTTCGAGGCGGTGCCCGCCCCTTGGCCGAAGTCGGGGAGGTGAAACCAATGCCAGGAGCCAGGAGCCAGGAGCCATGTGGGTGTGGCTCAAAATCAAACAGGGGGGCAAACCGCAGGTTTTGGTCCATGTTTCCACTTACCAGAATTCCAATTTGGTACCGGCTTTTTGAGCCACAGCCATGTGGCCGTGGTAAGTGGAAATCCGGACTGAAATTGCGGGGTTCTGGTGGTTTGGTTTTGAGCCATAGCTATGTTAAGGAACCACGCAATCCAATTCACCCGCACAATTCCTGCAGTATGGATGAAGCCCAGTTTGAACATTGGGATAAATCATATCTAACGAGGGGGACTAGCGAGCTCACCACGGTGCTGTATTTTGGAATCTGTTAAAACAGCTTCCAACCCGTGGAAACCCTTGCAACCATGTTAAGCAACCCCTAAAACACTTCTCACCTCTTTTTCAGGGGGTTCAGCATGTTTCTCGCAAGACATGGTTCCAAAGATGGCCATGGGCCAATTTAAAGTGGGTGTGTTTTCTTTATTATTCTTGGTTCATGCTTTGTTTTGCTTTGGTGTTCTGTTGATTCGTAGGGCAGCAGCAAAGAAAGCAACTTGCAAGCATGCTACTTGGGTGGTTGGCCGAAGTACTGAGTGGTTGGTAGCCTAGGAAAAAACACTTGTAAGCTTCCCTAGGAGTTAACACAAGGAAGGGTGGGAGAGACAGAACAGGGCAATCCTATCTTCGGGAAGCAGCCTCAATTGCCTCCAAGCCACCTCGAGCTGTTCAGGCCAAAGCCTCAGTCTGTAAGTCTTATTGGTCCCAACCGGAATTCGCGTCTTTGAGGGTGTGGTCAGTCAATGGACCCTAAATCCCTTTGCCTAACTACTAGCTCACATACATCAAAATCGGGCTTGGCCATGTGGCTTTCCCCGAATACGTGATCGTTCTGTTTCACTCTTGGGTGTGTATTTTTTGTGGGCGCGGTTTGACACCACTCGTGGAGGTCCCTCGTGGAGGTCCCCCGTTCTTTGCGAGACGCCCTGCTTGTCGGGAGGTCAGTGTGTCCTCCTACGGCGCCGCCCTCGCCAGCAGCCCTCCCTGGCAAAGGGCGGTTGGCCTGTTGCGAGAACTTCAGCGACAGCTCAGGGCAAACCTGATCGCTCCTCGAAAAGAGACATCAAAACTACACGATCGGCACAAAAGTCGGACTTTCTCCTAATTTAATGGGTTCTGACCCTCGTTTGGTTGGTATTTACAGAGAAACCCGAAAGAAACCAGCATTTGTTTTTGGTGACCTCTAACTATTTTGAGAAACAACTGACAGATTGCCAAAAGGCCTTTTAAACTTGTCACCCGTTTGGGGGGAGGGGTCCTTCTTTCTGCAGAGCAAGTGAGTAGTTGGCTACCCACACTTCCAGTGGTGCCCTTTCTTCCCGCTTTGATTTGTTTGAAGGGGTACCTTCAACATGAACTGTCCAAGCTTTTTGCCCTCTTGCCACAGGAGGTCTGCAAAGGACAGAGCAACACCGGCATTGGTGTCCCTTTTTAGCTAGAAACAGATTGCACTTGGCACTGGATTGACTTGCTTTTGTTCACGTTACCCCAGCCATCTATTCGTCCAAAAGGTCACCTATGAACAGCAGTGGTCACGGGTATCCTTGTTGACGCTTGAGAAATTGACGGGACAAGTATAGAAACCTGTATGGCCTTTTGTCGAGCCCCCGGTATTTTTCCGTAGTTGCCCGCTATGGCTGGTCGGTCTTCGGTCATTTGAGTATCCAACCCATATATGAAACCCGTCATATTTCCCAACCTGTTTGCGTCAAAGAGATTTGGCCGCCGGTTTTTGTTGTGAGATCAAAGATCAGGTTGGCACAAAGGGAAACGAAGAAGTGACTTCCCTACAGACGCGTCTTCGAGTTCAGGGCTTCGCTTCCGGTTCGCGGGGCTGCCTCTTGGGCGACGGGAGAAGGCCATTTTGTAGAGCATGTGTGAGACTATGAACTCGGTGGGGAGCCCAGCCGTCCCCTTGGCTTCTCAGACTTTTGGTGTGGGGTGCTTTTTGATTTGACCCACTAAAAGTTAAAAACTTTTAGCAGGGGATCTGACGTAGGCTTTGCTATGGCTCTGAAGAATCCATGGATTCGCTGGTTCTTTTGGGGCGCTCGGGGGCTTTGGCAAGGGCTTTGGGCGGTAGGCGCAAGAAAGCAAGAAAGCATTCCTTCGGGCGGTAGGTAGGCGCAAGAAAGTAATTAGTCTGGGTCCCCAGGCTAGGTGCCCTTTTACCCACTTGTTTTGGGGAGGGTTCCCCTACTAAAATAGACTACAGAACAAAGGGTACCCTTATTCTCAGCTCTCTACTGGAGGACCTAGTAGTCCAGATGGAGTTGGAGAATTGGGTTGAGATTCTTACTCATCCTTCCATTGCTCCAGCCGTAGCTGCCTTTTTCCAAGCCCATCAGAGATCCTCCTTCTCTGCAGAAACTGGGCAACAAATCCGTGAGAATGTGGGTGGGGGGTCTAGAGAGATGACGCATACGGAGTTAACCTTTAGAACTGGGTGCTCAATTGCACTGTTTTGTTTCCCGGTACAGAAAACCAAATGGGTAAGGATAGATGTTCAACATTTCCAGACCCACCATTTAAGACCCAAAGCATTACACCCACGATGCAAGTAGGTTGGTAAGGTTAGCTACCTAGGCCATACCCTGCCCACAAACAACCAGGGCTCATTTCTTTTAGGGGGGCTTGTTACTTGGCACAAGCAACCAGGGCTCATTTCTTTTAGGGGTGGCTTGTTGCTGGGCCAAACTTTCCACGCAGGACCCGTTTGGTGTAGTGCCTTCCACGTGTCTTGGTGAGGCATACAGTTCCGGTCTCAGCGCCTGCACCGCCGCGTGGCCTGCAGCAAGCCTCTTACTGCAGAAGCTCCAGGGCGAGCATTTGGAAGTCGCCAGGCTGGAACTGGCAGGGCGCGGGCATAGGTGCCCTTTTTAGGCTAGTTTAGTGAAGAATAGATGGCACTGGTTTTGATAAGTTTTCTTCCATTTGCCAGGGCCGGCTATTTTTTCCAAGAGGCTACCTATGGGCACTGGCTTTTTGCGGGTGGCCCTTGTGGGGCGATGGAGTGGCCCATGAAAATGGGGTGGGACAAGCCTTTTCTGATCAACAGGATGTCCCTTTGATGACTTCAATCTTCATCCCGATCCCTCCTGCGCAGTTCCATTGTGCAGTTCCATTGTTCAAAGAGGTTTAATGGGTGTGTCTTTTCTGGGGGGACGCGAAAGTGGTTGCTTGCCTTTGAACCACAGAACCGGGGGAACCTTAAACAGACACCCACATGGTTCGAGCAAGCTGGCTCAAGCACGGCGCCCGAAGTTGCGGGCCCTGTCTACTTTCTCACAAGGGGATTCTGGGAAGCTGTTTAGGACCTTCCCAGACGGGTCCCCCCCAAGAAAAGAAACATCTTATGGAATGGACCCTTCTTGGCACCAACTGTGGCGATAGCTTCAATGGAAACCGCCAATCCAGTGCAGCTTTTGAAGGGGAATTGGAAATCCAGTGACCCAAAACGCCCCTCAACGCCCCGCCTTGGGCAGTCGCATGCCTGAGGCCGATGTTATTGCCATGAACAGCGCCATCAGTGCCAGCCCTTGGCAGCGATCGCTGCATCTTCTCGCAGGACTGCAATTGCTGCGACCCAGCATCGTCACTTGCCCAAAACGAATCGACCTGGGTGACCTGGGCGATGTTTTTGCAAATTTCGCTTTCTGAAGCTTGGTCATGGAAATGGAGGCGAACCAAGAGAGCCTGGGCTTTATGTTTCAGGCAAACCCACCCAAGTGCTGCGAGTACAAAGTGTGTTGCCCCTTAAGGTCTCATGGCTGGTCCCGGGAGCCTTCGCCCGTGGATTGTCCTGCCTTCTGACAAAGCAACCAAGCTCCCCGCCCAGGCCCCGTTGTGTTTTTTTGTTGTTCAGCGTGTTGTTCTATGTTTAAGCATATTTGTGAATGGCAATTTGCCCAGCGGCTGCTGGGTAGACATGGGCTCAAAGCAACTGATCTCTTGGAAACCAATAAGCTTTCCATTGAACCCTCTAAAAGGAGTTGGATGGCTTGGTCTTTCGAGACTCGGCTTATGTCCGTGTTTGCAGAACCTGGGCGACCTTTGGTTTCCTGTTGGGTTGCACGCAAGCTGTCAAAGAGGGTATGCTCGGCTTTTGCAAACACCGAAGCTTTCGAGAAGAAAGCAAGCCTCCGGTGGTTTTCAAGCACATGTCAGTGTTGGTATTGTGTTGTGCCCGTGTTGTGTTGTGCACTTTTCATGCGGTGGGTGTTTGGTGTGCCTTGTACGCGTTGTAGTTCTGGGGTGGCTCTTGGCGTTTCCAGGTCTTGCGCTGAGGTCAGCTACGGCGCCTGCATCGCCTCCTGTGAGTGGCGAGCTTCTTTGGACTTGCTTCTTGGCACACGGATGGAAGTCTATGGGACAGTTTGGGTGTTTCTCAAAGTTGGAAGACTCCAGGTATGTGGTTGTTCTTTTGGGTTTCCTGTAAAAACCAGCCAAACAGGGGTCATCTGTCTTGAGGTGCACCAATTTGCCACGGAAATGGGAGGGGTTGTTTGTCCTTAGGTTGCTGAAGCTTGACAAGCGCCACCTTGTGCCTTTGAACAGCGCCGCTCGTGCCGCAGAAAGCGAGCACAAAGTGCTCTTTTCGGAAGCGGCCGCGGTTCGTTGGTTCGTTGGTTCGTTGGTTCGTTGGTTCGTTGTTTCGTTGGTTCGTTGGTTCGTTGGTTCGTTGTTTCGTTGGTTCGTTGGTTCGTTGTTTCGTTGTATCGTTGTGTCGTTGTTTCGTTGTTTGGTTGTTTGGTTGGTTGGTTGTTGGTTGGTTGGTTGGTTGGTTGGTTGATTGGTTGGTTGGTTGGTTGGTTGGTTGGTTGCTGGGTTGATTTGTTTCCTGTTGTTGTCTTGTGTGTTGTGCATGTGTCCTCATGCTTGTGGATTTCCATGCTGCATGAGCAATGTGTTCTAGGATCTCCAAGTTGATTTCATTTAGGGTAGACTCAATATGAAGCAGACTGCGAACATATGTTGTTTGGCGTACACCAAGGTTGGGCCAAGGTTTGCTGAGTGAGTTGCACTTCTAGATGGAACTCTGAAGGTGATGTTCGTAAATCCGCAGACTTGCCTTAGCAGCACAGTTGGTCTTGGTGGTGGAACCAACTGGATTTGGGGCCATTTGCTGCTTTCCAACAAGGTCCTCCCTCGTCAAGGGTTGACATTGCTCAAAAGGCTATTCACCTTTCCGTTGTGGGACGTTTCATTGAAAGCTCACTTCCTGAGTTCATGAACTTTAAGCTTTTTGGGAAGACCATTTCAGTAGTAAATATAAAGTTTGAACTTTTTTTTGGCCATCCACTCAGCAGGTGAGAAAGTGAGGCCAAAGACGGAATCAAGCCTGAACCGTTGCAGGGGCCGTTCGGGGATTGCTTCTAGCGTCCTCGATGATGGCCGCTTGGGGCCCGCGGGTTCGGCAGAAACTCGAGCCTTTCTGTGGAATTCCAGTGACCCGCAGTTCTTCATTTAACCCCCCGGCTGCTGCGTTCATGTACCATCATCGCAAGTTCTCTTGCTGGACGGAGGTTTAAGAGGAGTTTTAAAAAAATGGCGTTCAAGTCTAAGTTGTTGTGCTTGAGGTCTTCCAGTTGTCCAACTCCCCCACTTGCCCCCTACGCCCCTCCCCCAAAGCGGAGCTAACTTACGACCTTCGGAAGACAGTGGTTTTAAAGAGAAGCCCCGGAAAGTGAAGCACTTGTTTTACTTCTGTTTTTTGTTCTTAAACCAACTCACCAAAGAATGACGCACCTGTGTTGGTTCTGTTTTTGTTTTGCTTTTTTGTTGTTGTAAAGAACCAAGAACCAACTCGTTGTCTTTGGTCTTTTCAATGATTCTCTCTTGGACTGAGGCCATCAGCTGCTGCGGAAACGCCTCCAAATGGCGCTCCGCGCAGCTGCTTTTGTCCAAGTCCTGCAGCGTGGTGACGCTCGGGGCCTGCATCAGCGCCCCGGTCCGCGAGCTCGGGCTGCGGCCCAACTCTGGTTGGGGATGGATCACACATGAGCCGAAATTGGTTGGTTGTTTTTTGATTGTTTGCGTGTGTGTGTTTGGTGTATTTACATAAAACAACTAGGAAACAAGGAAACGGGAGGATCACAGCAGGAATTGTGTTGTTGCTTTCTTTGTTTTGTTTTTACATAAAACAATTAGAAAACAAGGAAACGGGAAGTGGGAGGTTTGTATGCACCAGCCGGGCTGTCTCCTCCAACAGTATCTGGAAGTTCGATATGGAACAGAATCAGGTGTGAATCGTGTAGTATCCTAGGCATTGGTCAAGAGGTGATCACCTTTTTGGGACCTGGATGCATGGAAATGCAGCTTGGTCAATGTTCAACCCACTTGGGGCTTCCGTGTGTATCACCAAAAGCAACCTCACCTCCGATTGGCAACCAAAAGGTGGTGTTTAAAACCCACGGGGAATTTAGGGATGTAGACATAGCCTCCAGCAACTCTCGTGGGAACTCCTGGGTTGCTGTTTGGTTTAAGCTGGACAAAATGGACACCCAAGTTTAGGGCTGATGACCCTTTGGAGGGCCTTTGGGGGAACGACTCTGAAAACAAGCTCTGACTTGACGACCCATCTGGGCATCATTAAAACATCTTTATGTGAATGGGTCTCCCAACTCACATGGCTTCAAGCGGGCACTTTGCCCAAGGATGAGGTTCTCCTCAAATTGCCATCAGTGAACCGTTCACTGAACTCCCAGTGATACCCGTTCCGCGTGAGCTGGGAATGACCGAGACCGTGAGTGAACCGGATGGGACCCGTTTCCCTAGGAAATTGCCACGGAGTTAATCCGAACGTTTCCCTTGGAAACCACAAGAACATGTTGAACCATGGAAAGGTTTCCGTAGAAAGCCGCCAGTTGCATGGCTCGGGCTCGTTCCATTCGACTCGTCTGAGGCGCTTACGAGAAGGGCGCCCAGTGGCTTTGGGCGCTGCACTGCGCGGAACTCTTCGCCCGGCGCCGGGTGCCGCTGAACCTCATCGCGCGCCTCGGAGAAGGAATGGGGGGTGCCGGCGGGTGGTTGGTTGGGTTTGGGGGGTGGGAGGATGGGAGTCTCGTTTTTTGGGGGGGCGGAGAAGGAAGGGTCTGGCGGGTGGTTGGGTGGGTTTGGGGGGGAGGTTGGAAGTCTCGCTTTCTTTTTTTGGGGGGAGCCTCTTTTGAGGGTACCTCACTCCCTGAGTTCTGGGATGTTATGCTTTTGGTAAGACCATTTTGGCGGCATGGAGAAACAGTTTGGACTTTGATTGGCCAATCTACTCAATCTGAAGCAACACACCCATCTTGCGGGTTTCCCAACTTTAAGCGAATGCTCTGCGCTTCGCCAGTCGCAGTTGGCAGTTGGTTGGGGGGTGGGGGGGCGAATGCAGTCCAATGTGGGTTTGTCTCAAAATCGGGCACCCATTGTTTGCTGGTGGGCTTTAGCTCATTGCAGCGCGACATGGGCCTTTGAAGCAATTACACGCGCCACGATGTTTAAAGGGGCTGGGAGCAGTCGAAAGTTTCGGGGTTTGGTTTTTCCTTTGAAAGCCAACCTGCCGATTGCTTTCTTTATCGGGTTTGAAGGGATTGTCTCAAAACGGGAACCCTCCAACCAGCACAAGTTCAGCCATTGAGTCCTGGAAGCGATTGGTGAAACTCAAAACCCCAGCCAAACCAGGGACCGCGTTTGGTAGCAGCCTCAAAGTCGCGGCAGGGTTCCCAACATATTTCCCTGTTGTTTTTTTGTCACCAGGCGACTCTCCAACGTCCCTTGCGTTGTTCAAGGGTTCGACAGACTTTCACGGTATGGTACGATTTTCACGTATATCTCTGAAAACCTTAGGTTTGGATTGGTGGGGTTTGAGTTTTGGTCTGGGGTTTGGAACGTTGCTGGTGGTTGGTAATTGGTTTGGTGGCTAAGTGTTTCTACAATCGGGGGGCAGCCCTCGGAACACTTTCAGACCACCACACTGGTGACCACGAATCAATGCACCTGGCGGATTATTGGGGGTGTTTCCCCCAAAAGCGAATTATGTCGATTATGAGATTAACTCGATCAGATCAGGCCTGGCTTTCCATTGCACCTGACTTTGATCCAATGGTCGCGGCGAAGCATACGTAGCAAAAGCATTGCTTTATGCAGGTTAAACAAACCAACAAAACTACATCAAGGGAGAAGGGGCGTGGAACATGTGGTGTTATGTTGGGCCGCTTCAACTGGTCCCCTCATTTTCCGCTCATGGACTCTAACCCCTCAGTTCCTGGAAGAGGCTCCCATGCAGCTTTGCGGAAGATCCGTGTTTTAGATCCACCTAAAACTTAGGTTGCCACTTTCTGTGATCGCAAGGACCCCCCTTCACGGTGATGAAGTAGTCATGAAAATGCCCCAGGCCGGGCCAGGCTAGAAAATTCGGGGGTGTTTGGTCAACGTCCCCATGGGATAGGCGCAACGCTGCAACCAGCGCCTGCGAGAAAGCGGCGCAGTGGCAGCGCGGCGCCGTGCTGCTGCTGGAGTTTCTGGGCAAAAGAACAAGTCCTGCGGGGCGGTGTTGTTTTTTTTTTGTGAGGTGGGCATGAAATGGAAGAGGTGGGGGTTCGCCTCCCAGTTGTTGTTTGTCGGGGGGGTCCTGTGTTCATTCATAGCCAGGTCAGCAAGACTTAGAGGTGCCACGAAAACTGGTGTTCTCTGAGTATTTCACAGGTAAACCACAAATCTAGTTGCTCAGGCTGAAGCCTCCAGTGGTAGCGCAACTTGGATTGGGGCAACTCCAGCAAAGGGGCGCCTGTTTGGTTTTTTTACGTGTTGGCCATTTTCTGTTTGGATCATTTCAGATGCAAATCCAGTGGCTTCGTGGATCCCTGGATTCCAGCTTGTTTGCCTTTTTCAGGTTACCGTCAACTGCTTGGGGTTCCACAAAGACCGTTTGTGCTCCTATCACCCGGGCAAATCCGGAAAGACGTAGCGGTCGGCTTTTCCAAACTAAGACTGAGTTTCAGTGGGTGGTTTGGATTTGTGGTTCGGATTCGGATATAAAGCCCTGGCTTTTGTAGAGGGTATGGGGAGCCACTCTTTAACCACCAAACCATCGGGCTCCAAAACCACCAAGTGGAGGGAAGCTCATTTTTGGCGGGTCCTTAAAGTGAAATCCCAAAGTCCATGAGTCAAAGCTCATGGCTCCCGTCTTCAACTGGCTTAAGGGATGGATCGATCCCCGAGGACGATATACACCCACTCGGATCGCAAGGGGTTGCAAAATGGGGTTTGTCTCAAAATTCGGCAGAATTGGATCACACAAAAGAGTTGTGGTCCTTTGGTTTCTATTTAAACCAGTTCAAAAAGAGAGAACCTACAAAAAAGAGCCCCGAGGTAATTTGAAGAAGACATCGATAGATAATGGATATATTCCCATAGACATGTTTACTACTAACGAAATTAACAATGTTATTTTATCAGTAATGAAAACTATAAAACACAAGAGATAGCTCTTTCAAGATGTACAAACATAGAAAGAAAGACAACAGATCCACGTTGGATTGAAGGGAAGATAAAGGGAACATGCAATCTCAAATGGAGGAATTGGCGATGGACAATAAAGTCATTAATCTGTTTCTTTTTCCTATCCTTCCGTCACTATATCTGGTCTATTTCTTTCTTATCAGGATTTCTTTTTTAGGATTTCAAGTTCCATCAGATACCGACATGATTGTAAAGCAAGAACAACTATTTGGTTTTAAACATGACAGAATAGACTGATAATAGCAACTAGAAAAGAGATGAGAGCTGTAGAAAGAATAATCCAAAGATATCAAACATGGTAGGCAAATAAGACATGTACTTATCTTATGATCATGAATCACACAATTCCAGATATTCACGCATTTCTTTTTACTTATCTATATCCTACTTGTAATCCATAAGCTTGTCTATCATTTCTTTCTTCATCCATAATCCAACTCTCCGTCACATAATTATTCCATTCGTAAGTCTTGGAAAGGAATGAACATAATATTCCAAGTATAAATCTACATAAGTAGGTGAAAGAGATACATGATATGCTTAAGAGGTTGAGGTTAGGCAACCACTGGGGAAGGTCAAAATATTTGATTTCCTGGTTTAAACGTGTTAAGGAACGTGGATTGAAAACGGGTTTGAGGGCACGTTAAATCCCAGTCCCAACAAAAACGTGGACAAAACGTGGCAACCACGTTTTCATTCTGCATTTGTTTACCACACTCTAAATCACGGTTTTAAATGAATGCTATGTTTCAGTTCTTGTCATAAGGATCAATATGCAATCAACATGAGAGATAAATTAATAATAAACAATATAATGGCGGATGAAAGAAAATAAGGTACGAAATGAACAATAAAGAAATACATATTCATAATATGTCTTATGATTGCACTTCTTAGTATCATATCCTATCACTTTATCATGGCAACTCGTTCATTTCCTTTCACCTCATGTTCATCCTATTTCCTGCTTATCAAGATTGGATGGTAAACAAAACAAACAGGTGAAAGGAAGCTCACTCATCACAAAAAACTCTTTTCCAAGCCATTTTCAATCGACTGGAAATGCTTGGGAAGTGCATGATGGTGAGAGAAGGAGATGGACAAGGAGATGTTGGTAGGAAAGATCAATCAAGATGAAGTCATGGGAACGGATTAAGACCCAGACAAGCAAAGAGATGACAGACATAAACATAACACATTATTAAGACACAGACAAGACGTCACAACAATTCCATGTCAAGATAACACCATACAATAGACAGTTGCCTACAGGAATTCGAGCACCTATCCAAATGAAATAAACCTATGTTCAAGCCAACAGCACAGAGTAAAACCATTAAGTTTACTAGATGTAAAGATTATGAAACACAATGAAGCTGACTTCTCATAAAAGTAAATTAAGATGAATATAGAAATCATTAAGTTTATTTGGCACAGCTTTTAACATCGCATATTGGCATGGCACAATAAATGCACTTCAGGTACTATATGTAAAGGAGTGAGTAGCCCACACACTTCTCATGCATTTTCTGGATGTGAGAAAGAAGGGAACGCGGTGGAAAATGAAAAAGATATAGGTAGAGAATTCCTAGACGAGGCACCCACACGGGTTGGTTTCTTCAGTCACCAGACCATTCACCCGCTAGGCTGGAGGACCTCGCGCTGGAGACCAGCTTGCGCCTGGGCTATTCGGACACATTTTCGGATGACCAAACCAAAATGAAAGCCGAAGCCCAAGCTGTTTGTTTGGCGTTCCAGTCTTTAGTTGACAACATGTCATTCCACATTTTTTTCACGTTTGAACGTGGAGGGACCTGGCGCACCACTCTTGGCGCTTGGCGCATGCTCCAAGGACCTCCTTCCATGGTGCCATCAGCGCCTGCGAGAAGGCCAAGCAGTGGCGCCATGCGCTTTGGGCCGGCAAGAAACACGAGCGAGCATTGTGAAACATTTTACGTTTTACATTTTTGGGAAACATTGTTGGGAAACATTTTGGCCGGCACAACATGTTTGGGAACATTTTGGTTGTTGTGTTGGGTTTTACATTTCTCACATTTTTTGGCTGAATGTGGTTTAGTGGTGGAAATCCAACCACTTGACTGCTAAAAATTGAGAATGTAGCTCCCCTTCCAACGTCAAGCAAGTGCGGGGCGTCCGGAAACGCACGATTTGGGCGGCCAAAGAAAGGTTCGGTCGGTGTCCACAGTTGGTGTTGCTTGTTTTTTTGTTGGCATTGTTGGTGTCCAACGGGTTGGTTTTGGCTGCTGTTGTCTTAGCATTGGTTGTGATTGGTGTTCATTTGGGTTTGCTTTTGGTTTGGGCTGGCTTGGGGATTTGGAACCGTGATTGTTGACTTGACATGGCTGGTTTGTGGTTTGGAAACTGCCCTTAGATCTGTGGGAAGCTGCTAGATTTTCTGTTGGACCTTGAGGAGGATAGACTGTTGATCAGGGGGGCAAGACGCAATGAGGTTGAAGCAGATGATCACCACTTCAGTGCTGCCTGACATTTGGTCTGTTTACTTTACTCCCTTTGGATCAACATGGAACCCAAAAGGGGCACCCGACAAAGGAGGTTCCTCTAAGAACGACAATCTTTTAGGCGCCATGTTAATCTGCAGGAGTGCAGAAGGGGTGCTAGCAAGGTTGGCTGAGGGGCATTGACGTCGGACACTGAAATCCAAATTGTGAAACCTGAGGAACCGTCGTATCTCCCTCCAAATGGGGAGCTACCCCCCTGCGCATCAACATGGGACCCCAAAATGCCCGCCCCCAAAAAGAGTTTCCTCTACAAACGACAACTTGCTGGATGCCATGTCTTTATCGCTGGTAAGGCCTTGCAGTGGTATTACAGAAGTGGAGCGGCAATGCTGACAACGCTGACGCCCATTTGTGCGACACCCAAAACCAATATCCCAGAAACATGTGTGGATATCTGATCTTTTAACGCGTTGCCCTACTTCCCGGCAAATTGACATGGAACTTAGAAAGGGTGTTGGCCAACAGGACATGTCTGACAAGTGATGGTTGTGGGCTTCCAGGGAAACTAAAAACAAGCTAGGGGTCAGACAGGGGCGGGTAGGTTTGGTTTAGGATTGGTTTAGTATTGGTTTTGTATTCTTGTATAAAGGCCCCATTTTTTTTCAGATAGCCTCAGTTTGTCTCAGCCATGGCTGGTAAACAATCAGTGAGGGCTCAAGGCAGGTGCCCTGGTGCAGAGCTTCTTCTCTCGATTCCCTACCCTTAAATTCACCATATTCTTGCCTTCCTGGGTGTGCCCTGTACCATCCTTGAACATTTGGCTGGTAGTTTTAGTAGGGCGTGTCATCAAGAATTTTGGTGTTTGGGTGAGTCAGGTCAGCTCTTGACAACTTTTTGGTACATGGTAAGGCTGGCTGAGGTGGTTGTGGGTTTGGCGGGTCTGGAACTGAGAGAGGAGCTGCTACTGGTGTATAGAGCAGGTTGGATGCAACAAGCTCAGACACTGCCAGCCCCCAAAACTGTTTCTTATCCACCCGGAAAAGCATTCCGGATTTGTCGGCCCCATTTTCTTGTTTGTTGTTTTTGTTTTCAACGTATGTCCTACCATTATTGCTTTTCATGTGAGTGAGTATCCTCCGAAAAAAAAAGGAAGGAAACAAAGGAAACAACTTTTGCGTATTAACTCCCCTTGCCAATCGCCAAGCAACTTTTTATCTGCAGGAGAGTCGTGCAGTTGCTCGTTGGTTCTTTTTCGAAGTGTGCAACATGTCTTAATCTGGGCCCTGTTCACCCCCACTCACGGCGAGGGGCTGGTTGGGTCGGAAGGCCCCTTCGGTTTTGGTGGCTGAGTCTCACTTTTGGCTAGGACTCTCGAAACTCCACCAGAAGAAGCCAGAATATGACTCACGTGGCATCCTCCAGGCACTCGGTTTGCCTTGTGTGCGGTCTTTGAAGCAAAAGGGAAAAGCCATCAGTTCGACAACCTCCATGGTGTCTACCGAGTCCCTCCGTATTCTGTTCCGGGGTCCTTCTTTTCAGCACATGCTTTGACAGACTCAGGGACATCTGCAGTTTCTGAACAGGAGAAAGGATGGAAGAGAAGGAGGAATCAAGCCAAGCCTTGGGGGACATGTCGACAGTCAGTATGAGGCAGGTCTCTTGAGCCTCGGAAAGCTGAGGCGCTGCACTTCTTCGAAGAGGCCTGCACTCGCCTGCGGGGAAATGTGACCCTTGCTCGAGATGGGTAATTTCAATCAAGGACTTTTGTGGATACAATTTCGGTGGGGATGTATGCCCACCCTCCGCTGTTCAGGGGGTCTCTATCAGAATTCAGAGCCAGATGATGGCCGACCATGGCGTGCTTTCAGTCTTTTCAGGAAGCGGGCGAAACGTTGCAGCGGTGAGCGAATTCCAACCAGAAAGCGGGGGGCAGGGTGGCGAGAAGGACTGTTTTTGCCATGTCCATCAAGCGACCTGCATATTTCCCCATGTGCGTGCCGCAATTTGCTTGATTCAACCACAAAGAAAGGCCTAGCAAGCTCACCTGGGGGTAAAGCGATGCACCCATGGTAACGGTGTTCTGCTTGGTCGTAGTAATTTGCCCAGATCCTAAAATGTTGATTATGGAGGAAGCCGCTGAAACATTTGGCATGTAGAAACATTCCTACGCCTTAAACATGGCATTGAGGGAAGGTGACCCCTGAACTACCTAGTACTTCAGAGCAAATTGTCACAAGCTCGCCTTGGGGGAAACTGGGAAACTGAGCCCACGATGGGAATTACAAGGATTTGCGCAGACTCCATTCCTCCATTCCAGCTGGTACGCAACATGTGAGCCCTGCATCCGTAGGTTAAAGTCTCTTGGAGCTCACCTTCTTGAGTGTGGGTTTTTTCACTGGGGTTCAGTTGCCACGATTAAAACCATGGGGGGGGGACGAAACCCTGCGTAATTGACGTGTCCCGGGGGGCGACCAAGGGGGGGGTTATCCTCTATCCTCTCTTAGGTATCCGACACGCCGAGCAATGTCGGCGGATTCACCGTGCGGGATGTTCATTATCCAAGTTGGGTCCTTGCCGTTCTTTACATGGGATTGAATTCCAGGGTGTTTCGTTGAGTGTGTACCCTATGGGTTTGATCCGCGAAGCCAAAGGGAAAGAACCCATTGGCAACCCCCGACGAGACAAACCCATCTCGAGCGGCTTTCTGGGGGCCGATTGGGATGGTTTGTAAGGGTCATTCCAATCATTTGGCTGTGGGTCAAGAAAGAGGTAACCAAACTGGCTTGCCCTGGTAAATGGAATGGACTAAAACCTGCGGTCCAATTCCTGGTGGTTTAATTTTGACCCATACCCATTTGCTACCTATCGCAGCGATCGCAAGTCAGTCTGAGGATCACCTTCAGCTCGGCAATCAGCGCTTGTCAGAAAGCTGCGCAGTGGGAGCGCGCGCTTTTGCTGGTGCACGCGACCCGCCGGCAACGAAGGCCGTTGCCCTTGTTTTGTTTTCAGACCCAAAGACCAAGACTGCATGTCCTGGCATTTTAGCCATTTTAAAGGGGTCCCTTGAAAACCAAATACGAAAAAGCAACACAAACAAGGCATGTGCCCTTTGCCAACCGGCAATTGCCGTGGTCCAATGTTGGTGTTTTGACAAGAATCCAATCGTAAGCTTGTGAAAGGTTGACTGCAGTTCATGTGTTTTTTCCTTTTTAAAGCGGGGTCCCTTTAAAATAAAGTACGGAAAACGGTGTCTTTTTTGAGAAATGCACTGGAGGTCTGGGACAAATGAACCTGGGTGAGGTATTTTGCAAGAATGAGACGATCAAAAACGGGTGTTCAGTTGCTTGGTTTAGTGAAATATAGAGAGGGCGTTGCGCTTCCGGATTGTTTGATCATTTTGTTTCAAGCTGTTTACGCCTTCTCCTTTTTTTTGGTTCCCCACTATAAGTGCTCAACCCCAAAGAGTCACTGCTGTCCCGGCCAACCTGCGGGAGGAGAGGAGGCAAGAGGTGTCTTTCAGAAGTGCCATCAAGACATTGGTGGCGCAAGACCCATGTATACAGTGTTTGGGTTTGGTCAGGATTGGCATCGACCTGGAAGAAAGTTCAAGAGTCCAAGTTTATATATATATATATATATTGAAAAACATGTATTTTGTTTAACTAGGGTATGACCACAGGCCACCTGGCTAAGAATTCTAAAAAGGCGCCCAACAACGCAAAGTGCCACTAGTGGTGGACATATCCACACGGAATTCTGCCCCTCAAGTGTCACACCCACCTGAGGAATTTTGATGTCTCCCTGACTCACAGGAACTGTAGGAAAGCCACCGGACGCAACCGGCCAAGGCGATGCCTTCGGAAACCGGCAACGTGGTCGCCTACAATGCGGCGCCTTGCATATAAAAGCACGGGGGAAGCTCCGGTAAAAAATGCGGGCGGCCTGTTGTTCATTTGGGAGGGGCATGGGGCAGCTCACTCAAATTGAACAGCTCTTCCAAGATGTAGCCAACGAACAAATGGGAGTGGGGCAAAATTCAACCACCAGGGGACCGCAGGTTTTAGTCGTTGGTTCCATTTACCAGGGTTCCGTTTTGGGTATGCATGTTTGACCCACTGCCAAATGACAAACGATGCACCATCATAGTGAAGATAACATAAACACGAACCGGATATGTGTACAAGATACACCACTCACATACGCTAAGTTAATATTTTATGTTACATGTGAAAATAATATCCCGGGTTCATGCGTAATAAAATCGTAGTTCATTACAAAGCTAGTGCTATATTCCAACGAACAAACATGAACAGAGGTCAAATAAATGATAGTCAATTGGATTTCACTGGTACAATACAAAGTAAATATTTCCCACGAGAAAAGCTGTCGAACCACTAATTTATTGTCCAATGTCCTCCCGGGAGTTACTTTGACCCTGACTCATACATACCAACATAGAGTAAGGTCATGCAGGATAGATGATGCAGTACAGGCTGAAGCCAACGCCTAACCACACCCGAAATAATGATCAATTGCAGAGGTCCCTTTGCTGCCTACCAAGGAATCAAGCGTACCACTCCCATATCAACTCCCCCAGATACCTTTTCAGGAAAGGACTCCTGCGAGGTCCCTTTACAAGAAGGATGATGAGTGGAAGGGTTTCTGTGTAGGAATCAATCTTGTTTTTGTTGGCGCAAGGGCAGCGTTCTTTTATTCTTGTGCACAGACCTCATGATGGCGTATTTTTCCCCAAACCTTCTACCAGAAAGAAAGAAGCCTCATTTGGGCGCAACACGCAGAATGGCCTCGCCTTTTCAAGCCTCAGATCTGGGTGCCTGATGGGCTCGGATCCCGATCCCGCCGTGAGCCGCTCGGAAGATCGGAGCGCGAGTGCGAGCTTGAGGCGCTCGCGGCCTGCGAGCTCGGCCAGTGGGAACAGGCACTGCAGCTGCTGGACATCGCACGTCAGGCGGCGCGGGGGAGAGGTGTGCAAATCGCAGCTCCCAGTTCCCAGTGCTTTGTTCGTCCCAAGGTGTTGAATGGACGAGGAAAATTGTGTGGCCATGGCATTGAAGGGTTGGTTGAAATATGTTTACCTCCCATATATCATAAAGGCACATCTTCTTCCTCGAAAAGTCATCGAAAACTCATGTTTTGTTGAGTTGGTTCCCTTTGAGACCTGAGTTCCAAAGGAAACCAATTTGGTTTTCCCACGAAAATGGGTGTGTGTTTTTTTTAGGGGGACGCCAACATGGGTGGCTTTTACTTCGGTTGCGCGTTTAAACCACTGGAAAGGGAGGCTCGGCCCGAGCCTCAAAGAAACACAGACCCAAGTTCCCCCGCCCCCCCCAGATTTAAGGGGGAAGCTAAAAAGAGGCCCCAAGAGGACACACCCATCCAAGGGGGTTTTCAATCGGGCAACCCTAATTAACCAGGAACCCCACCCATTTTTGCCCGAGGAAAGGGGGGCCAAAAAATGTTTGACCCTGGCTTCGGTCGCCAGGTCCATGTGTCCCCGGACGACTTATCCTACGAGTCCTCCATGCGCGCCGCTGCCAACGCCGAGCAGTGGGAGGTCTCCGTGCACTTGCTGGCGGAGATGCGCCAGGCGTAAACGGCTCGGAACGGCTCGGAACCCGGACGCAAGGGGAGTGGCTACGAGTGAAGAGGTTGGATCTTCTCGAGTTTCTGGACTTTGGTCACTTTCTGGGCTAGATTGTTACTTAATTCACGGACTTTAGAACTTGTTGAGTTCGGACCATTTTAGTGGTACGTAAATCAAAAGTAGAGACTTTGTTTAACCATTGGGTTGGATCTTCAAGCTTTAAGATTTATTATTAGTTAAAACTGACTGTTATGTTTTATCCCACGAAGCTGAAGCTTAAAACGGTTCGCGCCACGGAACATGTGATAGCAAGGGCACGTTCTTTGAAGTGATAAATGGTCACTGGGATGACGCCCTTGGTGATGTTGAAAGGCTTCGTATTGGTGGTATAAAGAAGCTTAGGACATTCCCAAAAGTAATATCTAACTGTGGCCTATCAAAGAATGTAAACGGAACTCAACACATATGGGTGCTAGGCATGAGCAGAACCGGAGAACAACAGACAAGAACAAGCAAGCGTTTCCCCGAAAATGTGAAAACAGCTGGTTCCTTGTCGGCTTGGTCTCTCAGGACCCGCCCAAGTTTTTATTTGACCCGAGGCAGTGGTTGACTCAGAGTTTCTGGCAGTCGTACTGTTGGAGATGACAAATTGAAGTGTGGCCGGTTCCATCATGGGTGTCCTTCCAGGGTTCAAAAGACTCGCGCCCCCAGCTTCTGGACCTTTTTTTTGGAAGATGAGTTGAGAGGCACACGAAAAATGCGGATTTGTTTGGTCCAATCCACTCAGGAAGTGAGGAAAGGGATTGAAATGCCATGCGCTCTTGGCACGTCTATGCTTTACTCGGAGAGGGTTGCTCAAAAGGCCTGCACGACTCCCATCAAACAACCAACTCACTTGTCCAAAGCCGCCCTTTTGACCTTTTAGTTTTGCCTTGTTGGTCTGTTTGTTGTCATGGCCCCAAAAAGGTTTAACCTTTGGCTTCTGGGTTCTTTGGGCAAGTGATTAAAGCTACAAACGGCACCCGTTGTGGGCGGGAGTTTTGGTATCTTCACTCCCATTTGGTTTCTGACAGACCTCGCTTTGGCTTTACTTGTTTCGACATGTTGCATATTTTGCTGACGCTGTGTTTCGGTTCATGTTCAGGGGGAGTCCCAGGTGCAGCCTATATATGTATATATGTTCAACGTATTAGTAGAACCAAAAGGTCATAGTGTTTTTGGGCGCAATCAGTCCCCCTTGCACCGCGGGGTTTCCTTTTTTTGCCAAACGCGTCTTGGTGTCAAAAAGACTGGGCACCCACATCCGCAGGCGCTTATTTCCGTGACGGAGGTGGCGCTGAACGCGGCCATCAGCGCCTGTGAAAACGGCCCCGGGGGCCCAGTCCGGTCGGGGGTTGTGGCCGCCGCAAATCCGCTCAGGAACTCGCTGGTGCTCAGTAGGGAATGTGGGAATGAACCCAGGGATTCTCTTAAAGGAAACCACCAGTTGGATGGTTTATAGGGTCATTCCCTCATTCCCTACTGAGTGTCATGTAAGCAGTAGGTTGTAAGCATAATGACTGCTAGGGATGATTGGCCGCTTACCATGGTTATGACCTGCGCAGTTTGAACACCCAAGCAGCCTGGGGTCTCCTCCGAAACTGGCGTGAAAGTTAATGGAGGACGAATTATGAGACATAATCTGATGTGCCTTTTGTGTACATGGCCAAAGACCCTCCCAACCGTTGATGCCTTCGGTTTAGCAAGGCGGCCTTTAACAACAACCACAAAGGGTTGGTATCTCTTGAAATAAACCCAACAACAGATGCAACCCCAAGGGCCAGGCTTGGGTCGGCCCCTTGTTTCAACATGCATATGAAGTCGTCAGGGAGTTGTTCTTCCCTTCGAAAAGAGACGAACCCATTGGCAACTCATTTGGCTCTTCGCTTCTGATTTGACGCGCTTCGTATAACTGCCACATTCCCCAACTGATCGGAGGAAACCAGGGGGGTTATGTGGGACCAGTCCTTGAACTGAAGCAACGAAACAAAGCAAACAGGCGCCAGAGCAAGCCAAGCCAAACAAGCAAGACCAACCCTACCAAACTTAAATCAAGCCAGTGTTCCAGCAGAGACTGAAGCCAAGATAGTCTCCTCAGGCGATTCCATTCAAAGGATCTTTGGGGAGAGCACTTGCCTTAAAGGACCAATTCGCCTGAGGGAGAGTATATCCTTTCTACAGTGGTTACACAGAGGTTACTTCCATGTTTCCCTTGGTGTCGGTTGGGGCAACGTAGACCCCATTTGACCCAACCAAACCAGTGGAAGACTGCTCCAGCACCGAACCAAGCAAAGTTGATAGGGGGTTACTCACTTGCCCAAAGCCGACCATTTGACCTTTCGATTTCCAAAAAACAAATGTGGTGCACTTCTAGTCCAGGTCCGCAAAGGCCAACCTTTGTATGTGGCTCCTTTGGGCAACTGAGGCCAACTAGTTACTATATAATTACACAACGTTGTGATCTGACTCAATCGGGTTGAACGTATCCCAGAACCACATTATAACTGTTTGGGTATGCGGGGGTGTTGCATTTTCAGGAGATCTTGCTTTCCTTTCGTTTTTTTCTTGTAAGCACCACCCAAAGGAGGATTCCCCGTTGCCCCTTTGCACATGGTAAGGCAAACTTGGGAATTGCGTTTCGATGAAGGGATTTCCTCTTCTATAAGTGAGGCATTCTTTAATTGAAGTGTTGATTATTGCTTGCAGTACTCACTCACCGAGGGAGTTTTAGCTTTTTGGCAGGAGGCCATGTTGGTGCCAAACAAGGAGTGTTACGTTTTTGCCAATCCAAATTGAGTTGCACGGGTTTGTGTTGTCTTTCGAAGGTACCCGTTTTGGGTTTAGTTTCAAAGGAAACCAGAATGAACACCATAACTTGAGGGTCCCCCTACTTTGACACATACCCTCCCTATGCTTCCTAAGTGTCGGGAAAGAACGGGGTTCTCACAAGGAATGTTTTGCAGAATAGGCTTTGGAAGCATAGGCGTTTCATCTTTGTCCCAATTGGCCCACCTTCGCGCTCGCTCGAAAGGCGCCCAGTGGCGGCCGGTGCTGGCGCTCCTGGCAGATCTGAAGCTTGCAGATATGGAGGCGTGGGTCCAGGGATTCGCATCCCCTGGAATGTGATCAAGTAGTGGGGGCTATATAATTACTGGTTTCCTGAGACATCAACACTGAACCTGTTGTTTTTGTCCAGTGCTCCACAATCAATCCGTTTAGTCCTGACAAAAACATGACCGAAACTGGCTTAAATCACCCAAACTCCAAGCGTACCTTTGGATTGTACTGTTGGGTGGCCAGGTTGAAACGTATTTTTCTGGAATTGTTTTCTCTTTTTTTTAAGAGAATAAAAGTCCTCGCTTCAAACCGCCAGGGGGATGTGATGACCTGCAGCGGTGCCATCAGCGCGCCTCAGACTGGCACTCGCTTGACATCTCGGCGGCGTCGGTTTTTTGTTGTGTCAAAATTGGGTGTCTTTCTGATGGAGGGAAACCCACCCCCAAAAAAAGGCTGTGGTCCTTTGGCCTTTGGGTTTCCCAACATGGATCTGTTACTTTTGGTTTCTCATCATGGGTTTGTTCCTTTTGGTTTCCCAACATGCTGTGTTCCTGTTGGTTTCCACTTAAAGCCACCAAACAAGGGGTCCTGAAAAAGACAGATCCCTATACTTAGGGTTGCTTTTGGTTTCTCTTGAACACCACAGGTTTGAGAAACGCCCATTTGAGCGCCAAAACCAGAGCGAGTCCCTTTCTCACGGCCGTTTTCACAAGCCTAGTAGGTTCGATTCCATGCCTTGACAACCAGGTTGGTACCGAATATCAATGGGGTTTAGGCCTGGCTCGCAACAAAATGCGGATCTAAACTCCCGGTTTGGTTGCAGGTGTTGCTAACATCCGAGGGACTGGTTTCCCGCCACGGATTGAACGGGCGGTTTGGCCGTGGAAGCATGTTCGGCACCCACTAAACATGGACCCCAAGAATGGTGTTCTTTTGTCACTGAGAATTTGGGTAAGCTTTGCAGTTGGAACCCTTGCGAAGACCTCTTAAGGATTGTCAATGAGATGCTAGGAGCCGGCAAGCGTATATCTAGTTGTCCGAGACAGGCCAAACAAGGCCAGCAAATGCCAAAAAGCCTAGGAAACTCCAACAACTGCAAGTCAAGTTACAAATTAGAGCTGTTGGCATGAATACAGGCTATCCGCCTTCACTGTTGTTGGCTTGTTTCTAGGTTTGTAGGTCTTTTGTTTTTTTGTTCATTTTAGAGGGCTGCAAAAGATATGTTTCGTTTTTGGGGGGTCTCTTGGTTCTGTTCATGTTTTCGAAGCGGGCTGCACAAAACACGTCAGCCGTTGTTCGATCCACCGGACCACGGCTGGGACAGCGCTCCACCCGGTTGCAGCGCGGTCGGCTGCACCCAAGGCCTTCGGAAAGGCATGGCGCTGGCGCCGAGCCTTGGAATTCTCCTTCGAGGACGTGGTCACTTACAGCGCCCGGGAAGGAAAAAGGCTAGCCGTGTTTTTTGGCTTTTTGTGGGGGCGGGAAAGTGGTAGCCGTGTTTTTGTTGCCTTTTTGTGGTGGGGCGGGTAGTGGGGGGGTGAGCCCCCTTGAAATTGAGGTACAATAAAGTAAGTGGCCTTTGTGTGCCGTGGCCACTGGAAGCAAGAAGCCCTTCATGGGTAGATACTGTTGATAGGTTCAGAGGGGTTCCAGCCGTGGTTTCCATCCTTGTTGGAGCACTTCCCAAGTCAACGTTTCTGGGCTCCGCGCTTATTTGGGGAGCCATTTTCGTGGCAAACAAGGTGAGTAAATGTCCAGGTGCCGAAATGGGTGTGTTGCTTGAAGGCAAATCCCTGCTTGCTATTATGTATTAAATGATCCCTTGCGATTGTAGCCCGATGGGAAAGCATTTTGGGAAGCCTGCAATGGAAGTGATTGCCAGCACCTGAGGTGCCCGAGGCTTTTGTGCCCGTGGCCCTTGATTTCCAAGAACCCACCTGTCAAGCTAGCTAGGGGAACAACGTGCCCGGGCCATGCGGTCACCAACCGATACATGGGATAAGGGCATGTGTAAGGGTATTTTCTCTGTATTCATTGCATGTGGCCCACCAAAGACTGAAACCTGCGTAACCCTAGCTTTTGAATTTTGAGCCACACCCAGTTGGGTGGCTCGGGTCATGTTTTTGCCTCCCCGGAAAACGGCGTGGCGCTTTCATGGGTTTTTCGTTTGCCCGCCATGTGCATGGATTTCCATGTCTAGATGGCTCTTGATAAAACTTGGTGATCGGTCCGGCGGGTTGTTTTTGAGGGTAATGTTGACCCCAGATTCATCAAGCCCTGCTTGTGAATATGGGGCTGTTCCCCTCCAAAAGTGGTCTGATTCCCCACTAAATCCGGGAACACCCCCTATTCATAAACTGGGGTTGATTAATACGAGGTCAACATTACCTCTTTTGGGGGTGGTTTGAAGACCAAGCAAAACCAACAATTTGTGGGTCCCCTTTCAAGCCCATTTGGAAATTTCTCGATTTCGGGCAAGCCAGAGAGATTATGAGTTAACAGAAGGACGGCAATATTTACTCTCTCCAATGGAGCAACTCGAACTTTGAACTGATGATACCACACACCCATTTCAACGACTTCAAGCTCGGGGGAGCTTACCAGGATTACAACCGAGGCTCTGAAGCAATTTACTTAGAAACATGCCGCCCAAGATTCTATCACTCCAATGGACTTGAAAACAGAGATTCATTGACCCGTCCTTTTCATAGGACGGGGCCCCCCAAAAGTGATGATTCCCCACTAAACCAGAGCCGCCCCTATTTACAAACTGGTGTTGATCAATCTGGGGTCAACATTAGCCTGTTAACCAACTACTTTGGACCAAAGCAACAGCAACTGGCCATGCTATTGATAGTCCGCCTTTTGGTTTCGGAAGCGTGGGCGCTGGGGGTTCCCCATTCTCTGGTTTGCTGCTTTCTTTTTTCTGAGGCTCACTGGCAGCCATCCATCTCAAGACAACCGGCTGGTTGTGCAAGAGTTTGCATCCTCTCAGTTCCACCATCCCGCGCAAAAAAAGACAAAACAAAAGCAAGGAAACGCAACTCGAGAAGAGGCTGCATCGTGGGCGCCTGCGCCCGATCCTCGCAGTGGCGCCCGGCCGTGGCGCTCTTCGAGGCCATGGCGGAGGAGAAGCTGCGACCAGATGCTCGGAGCGGTGAGCGGTCTGGGGCCGGAGGGGTCCTTTGTTTTGGTTGCTCTGGTAGAAATGATTGATTGTTTTTTCTTTAGAACATATTGTTTGTTTGTTTTTTGGTTGTGTTTGGTTGTTATGGTTGTTGTGGTTGACAATTCCTGGCGGACCTGGTTGTGTCAAAATCTACCTGGGCCGCTGTTTTCTCACCCATGGCTACTTTGCATTTCTGTCCCGGTCACTGGCCCAGAGAGTTTTCGTAGAAAATAGATGGCCCAAGTTGATCTGGCTGTTTCATAATCACCAGGGCCATCTATTTTTCCAAAAGGACACCTATCTTCGCAGTCTATCCTCCCTTTATCATAGACGGATCCTCAGATTCCCTTTCGTCGATGAGTTGAGCATCACTTTTTCGGCCTTGTTGCACATGTGTTTGACATTTGTGTAGTTGTTTTCTTGGTATCGGTTCATGCTTAGTGGGGGGGTGCAGAATCAAGTTGCAGAGTTGATATTCACCTCGGATGTTTTTCTAAGGAGGGCCCTGGTCTCAGGAGCCCCTAAAAACAGATGCCCTTACTAGCAGGGGGACCACCCCTGGTTAGAGCGATTACAGGCGTTGCTTGTTTCTCTCAAAACGAGATGGTTGTGGACATTCGGGTTTTAGGGCCACTTTCTGCGATACCTAGTCATGGGAACGGCTCGCTTGGTTTTACAGAACGTAGTACCCCACAAACCGTGACCTTTTCGGGGTGCCAAACAACGCTGTTGCCACACAAGGATTATATGTGTTTTCTTTCCACAGACCCCATATTTACTGCCGCAGCGTTTGTCAGGAGAGCCAGAAGAAGCCAACCTTTCTTAGCCAGTTTCTGTACTAGCAAACTTCACCGGTACTTAGAGTCTCCATGACCCTAAAAAATGGGTCCATGACCCCTTAATTTTGGGCAATGACCAATTCTTCAATTCTCATAGAGACTCCAGGTACCTGTGAGGAAATCACGGGCGTTCGCTGTGCCTTGGCCCTTGGAGCAACTCAGGATGTTGTCACGCATGAGGCAACCCTCCGCGCGTCTCAAGGGCAGTCCGCGCGAAGCGCCGCTCTGCTCGACAGACTTCAGCACATCGCACTACTGGCGGTGAGAAAAGAGGCGGCAACAGTTCTTCGAGCTGGTTTGGACCCCATGCACTTGTGACATCCTCAAGTTTACTCAAAGGACTGTTGACAGCGCGCCTTTGTTCTGCTCTTGTCGTCAAGTTGGGCGGAGTTTGCTGATGCAGTTCTTGAATTCCGAGCACACCATTTAAGCCAACACAGCTTTCAACCCATTTCGGGTTGCTGAGTGCTCTGCATTTTCCTTTTGAACGATTCTCAAAGTCTGTGGTTTGGCTTTGGAGTCTCTCCCAAAACGAGGCTTCGCTCGGCCTCCCCCCGAAGGTTTCCCCGTGCCAGGCGAATGCTGAGTGCCAAGCGCTGCTTTCAGAGATGGCGTGCAAGTGAGAGGTCGAACAAAGCGCGCTCGCGGAGTCGGGAAGTTCACGGAATCTCTTCTTGGCATGTGGGCGCCTCATCTTATCTTTTTTTCAGGATACCGCCTTGTTTGCCGTTTTTGAAGGGACACCAATGCAAGACCACCATGTTATGTCGGGGGTCCCCAATCAAACGACACACCCATGTGTTTTAGCTTGGTTCTCTTCATGTTTAGTGGGTGGCAAAAGTCACCCGTGTGCCATGGAAGTTCAGGGATCCAACCGGCATCCCACGCCTTTTCGACCTTTGACTGAGTTTGACCTTCCACGTTGGGTTAGGAATGAATTCAGAGACCTGAATGATTTGGGGCTGTCAACTCAAGTGGAAGGTTGGCTTCAATTGATTTCAATCCGCGTCTGACATGGTTTTAAGTTGGCCGTCTAAGATTGGAAGCGCACCCCGTTCGGGATGGGATGTTTACAGGTGGAGGTGGAGGAGGTGGAGGAGTGAATGCTATTTCCGCGGTGTCCAACTGTGTGGGGAGTTGTCGGGTTAAGGCTGATTGTGTTTTCACACACCTGCAGCGACCTCCCGCAGAGCTTTCTCACAAAGATGGCTTCTTGAAGGAAATAGGAAACAGAGAAACCACCTGCTCATATTTTGCGGGTGAATGGATTGGTCCTGCTTTAGTTGGAATGCACCATACGTCGCTTTGTCAGCTTGGCTGGAAGGAGTGCAAGCGATAGCATTGCTTGGGCAGCATTGCTTGGGCAACAAACATTGCATGCATTAGGTGCAAGAATCGGAATTGGCCTCTCCTAGTGGAACGAGAAGGCCAACTGAACAAAGTGTACAATTGTGCGGTAACATGTGAGGTGCAAGAATGATTGTCAACCTGACATGTCTGCAGGTGCATCTTAAAATAGCAGGGACTTTTCCAAAAACCACAGATTGACTGTGCTTTATGTTTCCCCTTCCAAACGGCAAGCCCAGAAGGTCAGCCTCAAAACGGGGCGGCATGCCCATGTTGGCCTGGAAGTCCTGATCTGGTTTGGCTGTGCTGGGGCGATTACCGGTGGATGTTTTGAAAAGGATCATCAAAGCAAAGCAACGTGTGGTGGGAGTTCCTAATTGTGACGAGAAACAGCAAGCTTGGCAAAACCAAGAGTGTTGTCCCTAGTAGCTGGCAGAAGGTGGGTGATGTACATCCCCTGTTAGGCCCGTTAGGCCAACATTAGATGACGCGAGCTGACAGCACACCCTAAGAATAGTGGGTACTTGGACGGGGTACCGCGGGTTGTTGCAACGGAAAATTATCCTCACTTGCGGGTTCCGCCATGAGATGAGTTTGGCGCGGCTGGTGGCAAGTGCCACACACTTGCTGGAGACAGAAGTGCAGGACTGGATAAAACTTATCTTGGTGGTTCGCAGCCATCCTCTTGGCTTTTTAATTAGCTTTTTAGGATTTAGTGGGTAGGTTCCACTAAACCAGTAACACTTTTCGACTTTTAGCTGGTTGTCACATCTCCAAGTCCTTCAGAGGAAGATGCCCTTCTAGGATTCTTTAGTCAGCTTCCGCTGGAGTGTGCCCCGCCCCCCCAGAAAAAGAAGAAAAAAACCAAGGGGGTCCTCGGAGCTTGCAACAAAAGCCAAGTTGTTCAGCGCAGTGTACTGCAGGGACCAAATCTTTCCGCCATGGCTCAATGTAAGACGCTTGTCCAGCGCCCAAAAATCCGGGAGGCCAGTTTAGTGCGTTTAGTGACAGGTTCTATTTACTTCCTCAGTTTAGCGATAGTAAGACCGGATATAAACTTTGCTGGAAACTATGTGACGTTGTTTGCCTGTCTGCGGCTTGGGCCACAATAAATGGCCATACGGTCATGTACGGTTTTTTTGTCAACATTCTGTTGAACCAATACTGGCTGTATACTTCCAAATTCGGCCAGCCAGAAAAAATGCCACACTACAAAACAGGTTCCGTCCAAAAGCAAAGGCCATACGGCCTTCCAGGTTGTCGCCACGCTGCGCTTGTTTTGTGCGACTGTAACGGGGATTTGCAACCTTCCTTGAGGAATTCTGTTGCAATTCACCCAGACTGCATGGGTCTCCAGGCTCAGCCCCCGCATGTCTTGTCAAGGCTGGTACCCTAGCACCCCCAAGGACCCCCAACCCCGTGGCCTTTGGTTATAAGGCTTGTGGCAAGGCCTACCTCCGGGGAACTGTGTTCTGCGTCTTTGGCTTAGGAGCCGGCAGTGGAGCATGGAGTTCATGCATCCTCGCCCATCAAGCCGGTCTGCACTTTGGCAAGACGGCAAGACCGTGGGCAGGGGGGTTGGGCTGCTTTGCCCACTCGAATATCGGAAGGATCCCTGAAATTTCTTCGCTTGTTTGGATGTGCTCGTCTCGTTTGCAGGGGAGGTTCCGGTAAAGTCAACTATCCCCTAACACGGGGGTTCCTCTTTTCCATCGAATACCAATGAAGGTTTGGGGTTCGATTCGTGTTTAGTGGGTGGGTGCCCCGCGCCGTCGGCTCTTCGTGGACAAATCTGGGGCGTAAGTCATCCTCCTGGACGGGACCTGTTTGACCTTGTGCTGACGTTCCATTTGGGACAAGCGAGGCCTTACAAAACCCGGAGCCCGTTGCCTCTGTTCATCACGGTACCCCTCATGCGTAAAGCTTGGCTGCCTTCAATGTTGAGAGACCTTGTTCCTTTTTGAGGGGTATTCTCGTGAGTACTATGTGGGAGGGTGGCCGTCGGGATTTGACCGGGGCGTGCGGCTTACCTTTCTAGCTCCATTTGCAGAAACCCAAGACTTCCGACGTATCGTGGTTTTTTTTGGTTACCAGGGCTCAAAACGCCCAAGCCTTGGCAAAGGGGGGGGGGGCCTTTTTCACGGTTTAACCCCAATGACTACTAAGTGGCTTGAACACCCGAGGCCTGAAACGCTTGCCTCTCAACGTCAAAGTGATGAATTACAATCAATCGCGGGTAAATGGCGGGAGCAACCATGACTCTCTTGAGGTAGCCAAATTGCCTCGTCATCTAACTGGTGACGCGTTTCTCTTTTTTTAACGGATCAACGAGATTCCCAGCCCAGTGCGAAGCCACAGCCAAGCTTGGGGCCGCAACACGCTTGTCCCCTTCGCGAGGCACGGAGCCGTACTGCGGCGGCTTCTGGTGGGCCATGGACGCGAAAAGTCCCAAGATCGACCCCGAGTCCGCCAAGGTCCAGGCGCAGGCCTGGAGCGTGCGGGAGCGCGTAGGATTCGATGCGCGCGGACTCGGACGGAAGAATCCTTCCCCGCCTTTGATTGAAAGGCCAGAGGAAACGGAACTTGGCGGAAAAGAAGTTTGCATCTTCTCCCATCCCGACTTTTGGTTTTCACAAAATAGTACCAGCCTACTCTGATGTCCTGGGCTCGTGCGCGCAAGGGAGATCGGGAACGTCTGTTCAAGTGGTTCAGGCACCAGCAAATTGGGTTGTGGGGCGGGGGGGGGGGGGCGGGGGGTAGATCTCAAAGACTGGGTAGATCTCACAAGCAACTGCCCCATCTGGGTTTCGGAAAGGGTGTGTCTGCTTGTATATTTCGGGCCATCTTTGTTTGGAGTATTTTCCGGGTGAAGGGTGGTCTTTGCAACACGAGTGCCGAGCGACAGCACCGATCGGGGTCAGAACGAGCTCAGGTACCAAGTCGCATACATGTCGCGACTTGGGGATTCTGAGATTCAACTTCTTGACTTGCAATGAGTCTTGATTGTGTATTGGAACACAGCAAAGCCATATATTTCTTGCTCGTTCAGAGAAAATGGCTTGCTTCGCGAGGGTGCTCCAGGTTCGCGTTGCCACTTGCTAGTTCACCGGTCCAAGAATGCGCATGTTGCGCCCCATGTCATGAAACGACTCAGCCCATGGAAACTCACCCAAGGGAATGCCCTGAGTGAGGCCTGGGGAAGGCGGAAGGCCTCAAGAAATCCTCTGTCGGTGTGCCTATAGGGGCCTAAGATTACCCTGCCCGAAAGGTGGTGCTCGAGAAATATTTCACCATTCATTCCGATGACTCTGCCGAAAACTCGCTGAACAGCAGGATGCTTGCAAAGAATGGTCCCTGAGGGGGCTTGGGTTCCCATGACATGACATCGGAATGTTTCCAAAAAGCACTGGCGTGCTTTCGGTGACGTGACTTGAACCAATCCTGTCTTTAGGAATTCAAGGTTCACTTCGTGCAGTCAACATCCCCTACAGATTAACCTGGAATCCCAAAATGGCATCCCCGCACAGGAGATTCCTCTACAACTGCTGGGTGGTGTTGTGTTCCATGTTAAACTGACACCCTTTTGCTAAGGGAAGCCAAAAGGACACCCGAAATCCCATTTTTTGGGCGTGCCCCTTAGGGGAGTATGGTATAGT